AAGGTAGATATAGGATTTTAACATGACTTAACAACTCAAATTAGATCCAAGAGGAAAAGTTTGAGTTCGACTCAACAGCTTGCATTCAAGAGGGGCACAGGGAACAGGCACACAGGGAGGTAAGAAGTCCCTTTCCCCGATGTTTTTCCCTAGCCAGGACAAGAACCCAAGTGAGCTTTCCTGGGCACCCTGTGCACATGACCTCCTACTTCCCTGGTGTGAGATGCAGAAGAATCCCAGGTCCTGCACAGCAGGGAGAAATGCAGTTGCAGTGACTAGCTGTGTTATGTACTAAAATGAAAACCTGAGCAGGTCTCAGCTGGAGGCTCGAAAACGGCTGCCAGGACATTTCTGACTGGGGTGGTCTAAGACTGAAAAGCCTCTTGTGGGGTTTGCAAACAACCCAGCAATGCTGGTGAGGAACAAGGGAGACAACACAATATGATGCCAAGACAGGTAGGATTCTTGCCCTACCTATTGCTATGCAGTCAGTAGAGCACATTGCTTCAGCATTTAGCCTCTGAGTGGAAATGCTGGAATATGAAACTGCTGTGAAGTTTGCTGAAAGACCTGGGGCAGACAGGGAGAAGGGTTGTTTGAGATCCACATGTTGGAGCTATGGTGTGTTTTGTGCAGGTGTTCCAGCAGGCATTTTCCTCTATGAGCTGTGCTCAGAATGGGATCTCGGAAGCCAGCTGAGAACCCAACCTAATCATTCCCTGAATTTCCAGGGCTGTTTTCTCTGGAATAATTTGTTAATCTTTTCCAGAGAAGCAGTATTGGGACTCATTTGTTCTTTACAAGAGGAAAGCCTGACAGAATTGAGGTTGTTAGTTCTTTTTTCAACCTTTCCTTCAATAGTCTTCAAATATAGAGAAGGCTGTTAAGAGGAAAGGGAGATGTTCTGTATGACTACTGGGGAAAAGGTAAGAAGATATAGCCTGTATGCTAAGAAACATTTTGAATGATTAGGGCTATGGAAACAGATGGTGAAAAGAGTATGGAGCCTTGTCACTGTAAGTTTCTAAGAAGAGGTTAGACCAACCTCTACCAGGTTAAGTCAGGCTGAGTTGGTCCAACCTTGAGATCAAGTGATAGACTAGCTGACATCTTAAAATCTGTTCCATCTCCGTTTTCTCTTTTTTTCTGAGAGGAATAACACAAACTCGGAGTATTCTATTGACATGCAGTCTTTCGATCTACCCTGCCTCCCAACGAAGGTAGTAAAATGGAGTCAAACCATGTGGTGGAACAAAGCACACCAAATGAGTGTATTTCAGATTAGTGCAGGGAACTCAGAAGAGCAGTTGTTATGCAGTGAAATTTAGGAATTTTGTTGGAGAAGCCCTCAAAAAGCAGTATTTGACCTACAAATCAAACATCAAATGAGACCTCATCTGGTCTGAGTCCTGCTATGCCAGCAGAACCTGCCCAAACCCTGGCTAAGGACACAAGTTTATTGAACTTCTTAATGAAGAGAACCCCACAATTATGTTACAGTTATTCTAAAACAAATAATTTGGTTGTAATTACAGAGATAATTACATTCTGACCACACCTACCAATTAGAAAGTTATAATAAATAGTAATAAAATACCTTTTCCTTGGGCTGCAGAATCAACCCCCACACAGCCAGCAACGCTAATATGATTTACTCCTATTTGCTCATGGAGGATTCTAGTAATAAAATTTAATGTGGAGGAACAAGGTGCATTTAACCAAAGCTGTAAACATCTCTAATTCTATTTAAAGCTATAGGGTGCAGTACATATTAACATTTAACAATCTGATACTAAATTGGTGTGAAGCTAATAGAGCTGTATTTATTAAAATTTCAGCACTAGGCCATGTTTTACCAATGACAACAGAAGGAGTAACCAAAATAGTATGACTCAGCAGACTCCAACTGCTGCTTAATAAGGTATTAAGAGTCTCCATGGGAGCCCCTGTCATAAAAGAACAGTGGACCACATTCAGCTCTGCTGGTGTTCTGCTGAAGCCAGAGGGAGTTAGTCCAGAGATTAATTCGGCCTTGTGGTTCCTGTTAGAAGGAGCTAAATCCAACCTATTCCGCATTTCTCCCACTAAAGCACATTATACTCCGTGAAATTTTCTTCTCTGTAGTTTTTCAAGTGACTTGCTTTGATACTTAAAGATGTACAATTAATTGCAAGGTAAAGGATGATGTTTTTCTTTCTCCAATGATATGATCTGACATTATTAAATCTGGGTGGACACTGCATAAGAAAAGGCATAGGAAATGTCTGCTCAGGAAGATGAGTGTTCTCCTAAGTAGTATTTCTTGGTCTCCTTTCACTCAGCTGGTCTGTTGCCTTTCAGGATTCTGCTGTCATCTGAATCACAAATGGAAAACATTTGAAAATCATGGGCTTTTCTGCAGAATGAAAAATTCAATTCCCACCTATTGGGATTGTCTAAATGCTGTTTATGAGATAAACACATATCCTCGAATCATTCTCTAGCAAGCAATAAATCCTACACAGACTTAGAGAACTTATCTCACCAAAAAAGGTAATTTATTTATCTCAATTAACTATTATTTTGGGGAATTAGATATCAAACATAAACAAGAATATATAGAATATTAATACACAAAGAATGGTATTCATTAAAATACTGGGCATAAACATACAGTAGAGGATTTTTCTGAACAATGGGCACAATGACCAGTTGAATGTAAAATGAATTTTTATCTACCAAACTTTAGAAAGTTTTCACAACTAAGTGGTCAACTCATTAATGTGTTAGGGTTTTATTTTTAATTCCAAAGGAATCACTGATAAGTTCTATACTTTTCTAAGGCCTTCCTTACAGCTGTCTGCATAAGGGATGTCCTCTCTGAAGAGTCAGTCAAACTCTGACTGTTCCAAAATTGATCCCTGAATGTTTGATCACTCTTTAGCACCAATTTCATTTTGGTCAATGAGTTGATTGCTGTTGTCATTGAAAGTCCATCACCCGATCAGAGAACAAGGAAAGATACCATGCCATTTTGGTGGATGATTAAACTCCTGGGATAATAAAAAGGTGAAACAAACTTTTTCTTGACAAGTCACAAATGCAAACATTAAAAATTCAAATAATTACTAGCAAACCTATTGCTAAAAGCTGGCCTTAGTTTGGAAAGAACTGTTTTGATGTGGAACTAGGGTTGGAATTAGTACTGTACATAATGGCCAGCCTGACAAGCTTTTCTTAAATTCTTTTTTTATACAAGAGATTTTTATCTAACATGGAAGCAGGTGACTGCGTTTTACATGTACACATCCTGGCTACACAGTAACAGATTATGTATGCTGCTAATCTATGCTGCCCATTCAAAAAAGTTAAAAAGCAGTTTATACAGACTTGCTTATTCTGGTGAAACCCTCCAAAAGGCAGTGATGTG